AAAAAAAAAAAAAAAAAAAAATATATATATATATATATATATATATAATGAATTAATGTCTGTGAAGTGCGTAGAAGAGTGTGTAGCACAAACAAAAGCTGTGTCAAGTGTTGCTGTTTCTCCTAATGGTCTTGAGGCCCCGGGAAGGCAGGGTATAGGAAAACATGCTGTACTTCGTCAGCCGCTGTCACTAAACAGTCACGCACTGTGCCATGTTCAGACTCGGGCACTTACCAAGTCATGAGAAGACAGGAAAAACAAGAAGTAGAAGACTTGGTGATTTTGGGAAGAAGTTCACCCCAAGATTGTAGAGAGTAAAATTCATTCCATACATTAAACAAACAAGCAAACTACTTACAGGTTAAGAGGGAACAAAACAACCATAAAACAAAAAGTTTGAAAACAGAAGGAAGCATGTCTCCCAGAACTTTCCTTATTCAAGCCCAACATTTGGTAGCATTTTGGTGCCATATCTTAGGCCCCTTTTGTTATTTTTAAATAACACATATTTTATTTTATTTTATTTTTTAAATTAAAATGTTCCTATTTATTTATTTATTTTAACATCTTTATTGGAGTATAATTGCTTTACAAGGGTGTGCTAATCTCTGCTTTATAACAAAGTGAATCAGCTATACATATACATATATCCCCATATCTTGTCCCTCTTGCGTCTCCCTCCCACCCTCCCTATCCCACCCCTCTAGGTGGTCACAAAGCACCGAGCTGATCTCCCCGTGCTATGCGGCTGCTTCCCACTAGCTATCGGTTTTACATTTGGTAGCGTATATATGTCCATGCCACTCTCTCACTTCGTCCCAGCTTACCCTTCCTCCCCCTCTCCATGTCCTCAAGTCCATTCTCTAGTAGGTCTGCATCTTTATTCCCGTCCTGCCCCTAGGTTCTTCATGACCTTTTTTTTTTTTTTTAAGATTCCATATATATGTGTTAGCATACGGTATTTGTTTTTCTCTTTCTGACTTACTTCACTCTGTATGACAGTCTCTAGGTCCATCCACCTCACTACAAATAACTCAATTTCATTTCTTTTTATGGCTGAGTAATATTCCATTATATATATATGTGCCACATCTTCTTTATCCATTCATCTGTCGATGGACGCTTAGGTTGCTTCCATGTCCTATTGTAAGTAGAGCTGCAATGAACATTGTGGTACATGACTCTTTTTGAATTATGGTTTTCTCAGGGTATATGCCCAGTAGTGGGATTGCTGGGACATATGGTAGTTCTATTTTTATTTTTTTAAGGAACCTCCATACTGTTCTCCACAGTGGCTGTATCAATTTACATACCCACCAACAGTGCAGGAGGGTTCCCTTTTCTCCACACCCTCTCCAGCGTGTATTGTTTGTAGATTTTTTGATGATGGCCATTCTGACCGGTGTGAGATGATATCTCATTGTAGTTTTGATTTGCATTTCTGTAATGATTAGTGATGTTGAACATTCTTTCATGTGTTTGTTGGCAGTCTGTATATCTTCTTTGGAGAAATGTCTATTTAGGTCTTCTGCTCATTTTTCGATTGGGTTGTTTGTTTTTCTGGTATTGAGCTGCATGAGTTGCATGTAAATTTTCGAGATTAATCCTTTGTCAGTTGCTTCATTTGCAAATATTTTCTCCCATCCTGAGGGGCGTCTTTTCTTCTTGTTTATGGTTCCGTTTGCTATGCAAAAGCTTTTAAGTTTCATTAGGTCCCGTTTGTTTATTTTTGTTTTTATTTCCATTTCTCTAGGAGGTGGGTCAAAAAAGGATCTCGCTGTGATTTATGTCATAGAGTCTTCTGCCTATGTTTTCCTCTAAGAGTAACACATATGTTAAACATTTAAATATTTTAAATATTTATGAGTTAAAAAATAAAGTTGGGATCATATGCACACATTTCTCTTTTTTCAGTTAGCCTTATATGAATAAATATTTCCAAATTGTCATATAATATTTAAAACAAACAGCTGCATAATAAATCAACCCTCTAATAAATGGATCATAGTTTATTTACCTGTCTTCCAAGGAAGTGAATTGGAGGCTCAGTTTCCAATTTTTCCCCTATATTCACAAATCCAGTATATATTATTTTCATGCATGTAATCTCTTCCACATTTGTAATTACTTCCTCAAGATATACTCCCCCAGATGTGATGGCTAGATCTAAAGGATGGCCATTGTACGGTTCTTGACTTGTTTTACCAAATTGCTTTCTGAAAGGACTAGACCAATTCCCTTCGCCATAGACCACGTACGAAATACTCTTCCAATGGGTACCAATTATTTATTACCCTGAAGTCAAGTGGTAATGAAAGAATGGTCAGTGTGCATTCAGCTGGAGATTCCCAGCCCCCATGCCCACCTCATTCTACCTGTTGACGTGAATATTCCAGACTCATCCTTTAAGAGTTAGCTTTTCACAGTGCTTCCTCTGTGAAGTCTTCCTAACCCCATTCCTGCTGAGAGGAATCATTAACTGTTTGCTTTTCTGTCCCAGTGTTGCATTTGGTGCACACACTGATGGTGTATCTTACAGAATTATGGTAATAGCCGTTCTTTTGCAGACCCATCTAAAGAGCAGTGAGTGAGGCCCATGACTTTTCATGTCCCCCAGAACCCAGCACATTCCCTGGCACGTGACAGGCACTCAACATGTCTGATAAACAAAGACGAGTGAGGGAATGAATGCCTTTATTTATTAATGAGGGCAGGTTTCTTAACAGAGGTAAGTTTTTAATAATTTTAAGTGGAAAATGAAGGATCGTTTTCAAAGCAGGGCTTGGTTGATGGTGGGTCAAGGATGTTCTAAAGAGGTTTCCAGGGCTTCCCTGGTGGCGCAGTGGTTGAGAGTCCGCCTGCTGATGCAGGGGACATGGGTTCGTGCCCCGGTCTGGGAAGATCCCACGTGCCGTGGAGCGGCTGGGTCCGTGAGCCATGGCCGCTGAGCCTGCGCATCCGGAGCCTGTGTTCCACAACGGGAGAGGCCACAACAGTGAGAGGCCCACGTAT